CAGTGCAGTACAATACAATAAATAAAATCTGATGTCAAAGAAACCATATGATGGTTTAATATAATAATCTGATCTGGTTCACACAACATATTAAGGCAATAACCGTTTCTCAAGCCAATTTGTTCTAGTTGTTAAGGCGCCAGGCTAGAAAGTGGGAATTCAAGTCCTGCCTTAGCCATGAAAGTCAGTTGAATGACCCTGGGCCAATCATTCTCTTTCAGCCTAACCCACCTCACAGGGCTGTTGTTATGGAGAAAATAGGAGGAGGAAGGTGTGTTCGATAAAGAGGAGGAAGATGTATTTGATATGTTTACTGCCTTGAGTTATTTATCAAAATAATAAAGGTGAGATACAAATAAATAAAAGTCACCTAACCCTATTTTAACTAGACTAGCAAGCTACAGGTAGTTCTCAACTTACAACAATTTATTTAGCAACTATTCAAAGTTATAACAGCACTGAAAAAAGTGACCTAGAACTGGTTCTCACACTTCCAAATGTTGCAGCATCCCCACAGTCATGTGATCAAAATTTGAGCGCTTGGCAATCGGCTTGTATATATCCTAGTTATAGCATCCTATGGTCATGTGATGACCACTTGCAATCTTTCCAGTCAGCTTATGACAAGCAAAGTCAGTAAGGAAAGACAGATTCATTTAACTATTGTGTGATTCACTTAAGAACTGTAATGATTTCCTTAACAACTGTGGCAAAAAAGGTCATTTAAAAAAAAGTGTCTTGCTTAACAAGCACCTTGCTTAGCAATGCAAATTCTGAAGCCTATTGTAGTCATAAGTTGCTGACTATCTGTATATGTCCCCAATAAATGAAATTAGAAAAGAAAGGGTTAGGGTTGTTGTTTTTTAATTAAAGGGGCAAAGTTCATTATTTGTTAAATCATAAACATTCAAATATGTCTTAAAGCTAGGCTGACATACAGTCAAGATCTAGCCCAGGAGTCGGCAACCCTAAACACTCAAAGAGCCACAAAGATCCTAACCAGAAGCCCCCATTCAATTCTGGAGCCGACCAGAAGTCCAGTTTCTCCATCATAGTCTCCTCCTAGGGTGGCGTTCTTCTTCCTCTGCTGACCAGAAGTCCCATTCTCCTACCATAGAGACTCCTCCTAGCACGGCATCCTTTTTCCTCTACCTGTCCTAACCAAAAACTCTATCAATTGTGGAGCCGACCAACAACAGGGAGCCATAGCAGAGGGATGAAAGAGCCACATGTGGCTCCAGAGCTGCAAGTTGCTGACCCCTGAACTAGCCTAAAGCTTCCTATACATATTGGACAATAGAATAGAATAGAATAGAATAGAATAGAATAGAATAGAATAGAATTTTTTATTGGCCAAATGTGATTGGACACACAATACAATACGAAGTGGTAGAGTAGGAACACTTTAGCCAAATATATAGAAAAGAATAAAGAATTGCTGTTCTGCAAACCATATTTAGCTTTAATCCACCATTAAGAAGAACCATCCTTTAATCCATTCTTTAAGAAGAACCTTCATCAGTTGGAATTAGTCCATGTTGCCTGCTAAAATGATCCAGTGCTGGCTGGGGATATTATTCTGTTTTGTTACATTTTTAATCTATTCTAGAAGAAAAATTCTCTGGGAAGATTACAAAGTTATATGGCTATCTATTAGAAGAATACTACAGGAGAGAAAAAAACACACCATTAATTTATGTCCAGCTTAACCCATACATTTGCAGGTCCATCCAGTCGAGAAGGCACATTGGATGGATCAAAACCATTTTGATGGTTTTGGGAAATTCTGGAGATGAAGTCTACACATTTTAAGAATTGCCAAGGTTGAGAAACATGGGTATAAGCAACATTAAAAATTCAGTCTCTAAATAGAATGTCTGAATACGACCATCATGATAGCAGAAGAAACCAAGATTAATTTAAAGATTTTGTAAGATTAAACATTGAATAGGAAGCTATTACATTAGAAAGCAAATGAGCAGACCTACCTCTATTTACAGGAATCTCTCTGCCCAAATAGGCATTCTCGGGAAAGAAAACAATAAATGACAGCAATTCCTGAAAAATATTGGAGAACTTTTATAAAAACTTTTATAAAAGACTGCGGTGGAAAAAAAAATTAAAACTAAGCTTTATGATATCCAAAATATCTACCACACAGAATAGTTGTTGTTTATTTAGTGATTGTTATAAAGGGACTGAGAAAAATGACTTGGGGTCGTTTTTTATATTCATGATCATTGCAGCATCCCCATGGTCATGTCATCAGACTTCAGACGATTGGCAACTGAGCGATATTTATGATGGTTGTAGTGTCATAGGGTCATGTGATCACCTTTTGTGAACTTCTGACAAGCAAAGTCAATGGGGAAGCCAGATTCACTTAACAACCACGTTACAAACTTAACAACTGCAGTGATTTATTTGACAATTGGCAAAAAATATCATAAAATAGGGTAAAATTCACTTAACAACCATCTCACTTCGCAACAGAAATTTTGGGCTCAATTGTCATTGTAAATTGAGGACTATCTGTACTTTCAGTTCAACTCTTTATCAGAGGGTAAACTAAGTTTGGAGAAGTAATAATGATGATGTGTGAATCTGCATAGAATCATGGAGTTGAAAAGAATATTGGAGGTCTAGTCCAAACCTTTGTTCAGTGCAGAATTCACCAGAGCACCTCTGACACATAAATATCTGGTCTATGAACATCTTTAAAGGAGAAAACCTCACTTCAAGTAGCAGCCTGCTCTACTGCCTCACAATTTGTATATTCAGGAAGTTCTTCCTGCTTTCTAGCCTGAATCTACTTCCTTGTAGTTTTAATCCACTATTTCTTATTCTTTTCTCTGAAGCAATTGAGAATTAATCCAATTCTTCTTCTGCTGATAGTTCTCGATTTATGACCATAATGGAGCCAGTTGTAAATCATAATGATTATGAAGCAGGTCATACTGTATCCAACACAATTTTATAACCTTTACAACAGTTGTTAATCAGTGCTATGGGCATTAAGTCAGAGGTGGGTTTCAGCAGGTTCTGACCAATTCTGGAGAACCGGTAGTGGAAATTTTGAGTAGTTCGGAGAACTAGTAAATACCACCTCTGACTGGTCCCACCCACATCTATTCTCTGCCTCCCAGCTGATCGGGAGGAAATGGGATTTTGCAGTAACCTTCCCCTGGAGTCCGGAGGGAATGGAGATTTTACAGTATCCTTCCCCTGCCACGCCCATCAAGCCACACCCACAGAACCGGTAGTAAAAAATTTTTGAAACCCACCACTGCATTAAATGAACTCATTCACTATGGGACATTTTTGCTAAAAACTGAAAGTAAACATTTGGTTTTTGGCAAAAATGATATAACTTGCATTCATATGCCTGCAGTATGCTGTAGACCATGGGTGTCAAACTCGCCGTATTACATTGCCATCATGTGATGCTTCGCAACGTTTTTTGCCTTTGCGGAGCTGGGGTGGGCATGTGACTCATCCAACTCACGGCCTACCAGTTTGACACCCATGTTGTACATGATCACAAATGTGGGCTGGTTGCCAAGCACCTGAAATATGATCATGTGATCATAGGGGAGGACAGCTGTCAGAACTTTGGAATGGCTTGTAAGTATCTTTTGGGGGATCCATTGTGACTGATAGTTGAGCAACTGATTGTAAATTAAGGACTACCTATATATGCTAACTCTTCAGATATTTGTAAATTACTATCTAACCTCCCCACAAATCATCTCTTTTGTGGGTCAAACACATCCAGATCTTTTAGCTATTCCTGATGGGATTTAGATACCAGATTCTTCACAAATCTAATAGCCTTCCTTTGAACTGGCTGAATTTGTCCATCTTTTTTTAAAACTGACACCCAGAACAGAACGCTATATTCCAAATGAAGACTGAGTAGGGCCCAGTAGAATGAAACAATTATTTTTCATGATATGGACTCAATGCTACCCCATGGTAACATTTACCATTTTAAGTAGCTGTTATCAGTCTAGATGCTCTTATCAACTCTGGGGTTGATCAGACAAAAGATCTGTTTCACATGTACTACTGTATCAAGCCTCCCCATCTTACTCATGCCTTTTATGTTTACTAGGGTGATTCAGAATCTCATTTCTTCCTGTTAAATACCATCTTTTCATTTTAAGTCAGTGCTTGAGCCTGACCAGATCTAGATTTTGCCATACATTGGGTAGGGCTATTAAGATTAATGAGTTTGTTTGTCAAGCCCTATTCCGATAAGTCTGCTGTAACTCTGGAACCTCTCCATGGCTCTAGAGTAAATAAATAATGGAAGGCATAAATGAATATATGAGGAAAGATGGCCCCAAGATCTGGGAAATAAAATGCCTCTAGAAGGTTGTGAAAATACATGATCTTTTAGTTATAAACTTTCTTTAAATTAAATCATGAGAGAAATCTTTTTTTAAAAATAGAGTAGTATTTTGTTACTGCGTTTATTTTCCATAAAATAATACTTTATCTTCAAACATGAAATTTAAACTCCTTATTGACCTTTTAAAAAAAAAAAAAGAACAAAGTCTTCAATAATTCCAATAAAATTTTAAAAGATCACAAAAGGTTGTTCCAATGTTGGAGCCATCTGTGAATTCTTTAAGGCTTTAATTAAACAATCCCAGAATTACCTGTGAAACTATTTCACAGGTGGGAAATAGGCTCCTATTGCAGATCCTCATTTCCCACCCTTTGACCCTGATCAAGGACATTCAGTGGATTTTGAATTTACCGTAATTAGTGCATAAACGAAAAAAATGTGAGAGTCATAGCCTAACACCACTCCTCTCAATTACCCTCCAGTGCCCCTCCCTCTTCACAGTCCGGAGGAAGTTCCTGAATATTCTCTCTATAAATACCCCCAATGGAGAACAGTTTGATTCACAGCAACCCAGGCATCCGCTCGCCAGTGACCTCCCGCATCAGAAGCGCGTCGTTTTCGAAGAAAAGGGCGGAGAAAGTGGGCGAGACCAAAGTTTTCCCTACAGAAGGATGAGTTCAACACGGAGTAAGTAGCATTTGGGGCAGGTCCTTCCTCGTTGCGGCCGGGCGGGGCACGAGACGAGAGGGTAAGTTTCCTCGTGGTGGCGCCTCGCTTGGGAAGGGCAGCTATTTTGGCGCCCCTCGGGGCGAGGGCTCCCCAGAGCGCTTCTGGCCGCCTTTGGGACTATTGCCCACCCTTGCGGTTGAGGGAAGGAAAATAAGGACGAGTCCCGGCTTACCTTCCCGACCGCTCGCTCCTCCTTAGCACAGCCTTCAGGAATGTTTGACAAGCTTTGAAATGCCCAGATTGGAGACCCGTCCTCTCCGGGTTTGATTGTAGGAGAATAAACCTCGAGCTGCTTAAATTATTTTATTTTCAGAGGTTAGGACTGGCCTTTGTACGTTTAAGAGGGAAGGAAAAGGGAATTCTGGTTATGTGCCTCCAAGTTCTCCCAAAAGTTCAGAGAAAGAAAGACGCGGCTTCGTTTTCCAGCCTACTGACATTTTCCACCTTTTTCAAACGAGCTTGGGCAACTGAGTTTCGAAAAACCCGCCGTAGCTCTTGCGGGGACTCGCGTCAGGCGAAGCCAAAGATTGAAAGGTTGCCACGTGATAGAGACGCCCCTGACTTGGAAAGGTTGGGAAACGAAAGCGGCAGACCCGCATTTTAGGCTGAGTCTCGCTGAATTTGTTGCACGTGCTAGAATGATAGCCTAATTCTGACGGAATCAATTTCCCACCCGCTTGCGCTCAGCTGCTTTATAGTTTCGTCTTGGATCGAGCTATGAGGAGTTGAGCGGCGTCTCAACTCAATATACATATATATATATATTGAGTTTTAACAGAAAAGCGGCAGAAAGGACGTCGTAGGTGAAGACGGTGGGCTGGAGCTGATAAAAGATAATTAATCATATAACTGTCTAATAGTTTCAATCTTTTAGACATTAGTATCAGCTAGATATTTAGTGCAGTTCATAGAAGTGGTCCATTTTGTTTTTTAAACGAACAGTTTAAAAATTGTATATTCTTTTATTTTCCCAGGTTGTCTTCTTCTTGTTAGTATTGCACTTTCTTGGTTAATGTGCTTAGCTGCACCTCATGCAGAATTTTCTGGAGATCCTGGTTTACATCAGTTCGCTTCAAAAAATAAGGAGTTTGCCATCAGGATAAAGGCTGATCTCCTTGCACTGAATGGGCTTGTGGTAAGTATATGCTGGGTAAAGAGATCTAACAAAGAGATGACATATAGTTTGTCAAACAAGTTTCTCAAAGTTATTTTAAAGGAGTTGAGGCTCTGTTATCAGCATTTATGAACTGGCTTTTGAGTCAATCATGTATAAATTGCTGTGTACCAAGTTTCTTTCCAACAAAAAGTAAAGTAAAAGGGAGAGCAAAACAAGTAATCTATAGATTTGTTAGAATACGTTGATGAAAATGTTTGCCAGCTATATTGAGTAAATCCTCCACTGCAATGATGCCAATAAAGTAGATACATAGCTGCAATCTTGGTCATTTTAGTTTCTTCTTCCAATATTAAGTTTTAACTCAATATTTTTAATCTGGAGATTTGCATTTGGGACTAGATTTCCAAACCAGTATGGTTATTGACCATGAAAGCCTAGACATTTATGAATTTGAAGTGTAATATAGCTAGATGAAATCCTATTTTTAAATTAATCTAAAATTTATAAACTATCCCTATTATATTGAAATGATACAGCAGAATTTCAGACTAATGGAAAATGCTGAATAGTGGAAGGGGAACAAAATTGTCAGATTAAATGTATTGAATGTATTGAATACAAAGTAATACAAAGTTGATTTTCTTCCACTGTTTGTTAAGCTTCCACTGAAACATTATTTCATAGAATCCCAAAGCTAAAAAAGACCCTTTAAATCACTACTTAAATCAATGCATAATTTTAAATAACAAGGGAGGATTTGGGGAAGAATCTGAGTAATATAAAAGACTGTGATAAAGTAGCACAGATGTGGCTTTAAACCATTACTACTTTTGATGGTGTGCTTTCAGTCTACACTTAGATGTACTAGTGTACTGCTTCACTACTGATGCCTTCTATAGAAATTCTTCTTGCATTCTTGAACAAAGGAATTGAAATATTAATCAGTAGACCAGTTAGGATACCTGGTTATAACTATGACCATGCTACAGTAGAGAGTTTGGAGTTGATATCTTTTTTAGAAGATGCTTCATGTTATAAAACCACGTGGGCCTCCAATGCAATTGTTGAATTTGGTCAACAATCTACAAAACCCACCCAAACCCTTGTGTGAATGGAAAACTAGTAGTCTTGCATTTGTTGAATTTCAACTTTTAGCAGCTGTAATGAAGAAAACCAGCAGTTAAAGTCCAGCAACATGAGTTTAAATTTAGGAGTACGGAAAACTTGGCATGAAGAGTGTTACTTAGAGATACCTTGATGCCCATTGTGCCAAAATACCTGCTCCTACTATAGTGACATAATTGAGAAAAGTGATAGATTAAAATAATTAGAGCATTAAACATACAGAAAAATTCAAAATTCATAGTGCGCTGAAATTTTCACATAAAATACTTGAAACATCATTCAGATATAGTTTCCTTTTCTAGTACTTCCCATAAATTACAGCTCAGTCTTCTAAAGAGACTTAATCTCATGCATTTCCTAGCACTGTGAATAGAGCCCCTCCCTACTAAAATTTCACAAATGTTTCTGTCTCCTGCTTCCGGAATACATGTAAGATTGTGCCAATTCAGATTGTCAAAGCTCAAGGGAGAAAATTGTTTGCAAACAAGCCAGCGAAGTTTGGCATTCTTGATGCCTTCCTCTTTGGGTGTTAGAAGGGAATATTTTGATTGAATCTGTCAAACAAATATGAAATATATTATAATTAAGCTTACTAAATACAAAGGGAGAAAATCCAAGGGAAGGGAATTACCTGCTTGGTACTCCTTTGCAATTCTTTAAATAGTTTTTTAGCTTGGATTGTGTGGATAGTGATTCACATAAGAGTAGCTTATGGTGAACAAGGTTCTAAATTCAGAGGTAAAATTTAGCCTTTATTTTAAGAATAATCTAAAGCCTGTCCTCATTGTAAATTGTGCCAAGTTGTACTCAGTTTTAAAGGGTTGAATCCAGGTTTCACTCTACTATACTTAAGGGGAGCCTCAGAGAATGCAGTAGGATTTTTTGATAATTTCTCCACTAACTTCTGGTATCTTCATAAAATCACTCATGTTATTGAAGTGATATTAAAAGTTTTCATTACTGTTGTTTTGGTCCAATAATGGCTGGATAACTCCAAAGGTGCTGTAAGCTATTAATGAAGAAATTATCTTAGTCACAGGCAACTTCGATTGGTTTTCAGTGTTTATCTCTGTGTGGCTGATATGCATTCAATTCCCTATTTTTAGTAGAGCATAATTTGTTAATCATGAGGAAGATGAAAAGAGCAGTCAAAATCTCCTAATTGCTGGAAGTCATATCCAACAGTCCTCATTAGCTGCTGAGATTTCCATGGACATTACTCATGTACTTTAAAGCATCCTGCTTAAAGATTTAGAAACTTGGTGGGAAATTTTGATTACTGAGTCTCAAGATAAGTATTTGCTGTGTCAGAATGCAGCATTATTAAGCCCTTTTCTATACTGCTATTTGGATATCAGCCACACAGAGCTAAACAATGAAAACCAATCGAACTTAAAGTAAGCTGTAACTAAGGTAATTTCTTCATTAATAGCTTACAGCTACTTTGGAGTTATCCAGCTATTGCTGGACCAAAACAACAGTAATGAGAACTTTAATATCACTTCAATAACATGAGTGATTTTATGAAGACACCAGAAGTTAGTGGAGAAATTATCAAAAAATCCTACGGGATTCATTGAGGCTTGGATTCAACCCTTTAAAACTGAGTGCAGTTTGGCCCAATTTACAATGAGGACAGTATTTAGGTTTATTAAAATAATCTTTATATTCATATAAGTAAGTTAATATGCATTTTTTTAATAAGTACCTATCAGTATTAAACCTTATTCAGATTCTCTGAGCTTCACTGGATGTTGAAATATAGTAAAAATAGGATTGTGGGAGGGGGAAGGGTTTTATAAAATACTGATTTTAGGGAGCAAGGATATAAAAGCACTCACATATGTTAGCTCTTTTTTTGGAATCCCAGAAATACCTCTTCAGACAATCTTTTCTTTTTTTCCTCCAGCGTAAAGCATTCAGCTTTGGCAGCAACAGAGAACTGATAACGATAGAGAAACTCTTGGGCATTCAACAAGTTAATATCTCTCATTGCCAGCAGGATCCTTGTGACATGGTAAATAGCAACACCCATCTGATTGTAACTTAAAAGCATTCTTCCCCTTAATGGAAGAAATACTAGGGTAAAGGTAAAGGTTCCCCTCGCACATATGTGCTAGTCATTCCCGACTCTAGGGGGCAGTGCTCATCTCTGTTTCAAAGCCGAAGAGCCAGCGCTGTCTGAAGATGTCTCTATGGTCATGGGGCCAGCATGACTAAATGCCAAAGGCGCACAGAACACTGTTACCTTCCCACCAAAGGTGGTCCCTATTTTTCTACCTGCATTTTTTACATGCTTTCAAACTGCTAGGTTGGCAGAAGCTGGGACAAGTAACAAGAGCTCATCCCGTTACACAGCACTAGGGACTCGAACCGCTGAATTGCCAACCTTTTGATCGACAAGCTTAGCGTCTTAGCGACCATGACCCCATTACTAGTACCCAGTACTAAGGTAGCAGCACATAATTTTGTAAAAAATCATGGCAATATTTGGGATTTTAAGAGCACCTGTGAATGTTCTCACAAACTAGAGAATCTTAATTACTCTATTTCAAGTTTTTTACACATTTCCCATAATAAGAATATGCACCCTTTGTTGTAGTTCCATGTAATATCAGTGATCATCTAAATCAATAGCTTGATTTCACTGGAGATGAAATAATCATATTTATTGTCATTGGCCAATCTTTTTTCTAATCTTAATAATCTTAAGGTTTTTAATGGGGCTTCCACTAACAATACACATGCATTAAGTGTAATATTTGAATGTAATATTTATAAAATGTATAAGTACACTTAACTCCTTGATGGGTGCCTACTTTAAATTTGGCCATTAATACTGCTGGTGTCAAATTCAACTTTGAAATATTTGTTAATCCTTAAAAGGTGAACAGGCAAACCCTAAACAGTAATGAAATAAAACAGCAATGCACTTATTCTAATATTAATTTGCTTCTGCCATGCTCATGTTCTAGTTCTAAGAATGTGAATTGGGCTTGAGGCTAGATGGATGTTTTTAAAAGCAGATCTTAGTTTCAGAGTGTTCATATTTTACATATCTATCCAATATAATAATTTTGGGCTAGCCAACATCTCCAGAAAATAATATTACAAAATAGGTAAATATCACTGATAACAGCATTAAGAGGAAATTCCCTGTCTGTTTTCTCAGTAAACATTTCTTAAGAGCTATAAATTCAAGTGTAGTGCATAGATTATTTACATCTATGTTATTGTTTAATTAAAATATATGTTTATTCAAAATACGTTTTTCTGGCTGCCACTTTTTATAACATTGTCAATTTTTCCACTGTTAATCTATTAATTCCTAGTATATACTGGCTCGTCATTGCTTAAAATGGTAGAGAAATGGAGTCACTGTTTATGCTTCAGTTTACCCTTCATTGCTTAATTTAAAACAGTAGAAATTGTTCCTATTTATCTGTATTAAGCCAATTCTAACATTTCATCCTGGATAGTGTCACTGTTTCCTTAGCCTTAATCTCAGTTGTAATTAATATAGCTTTTAATTGTGGTGCAGCAGAATTGGGTTTGTTTTCAGATTATGTGTACATTTTATTGTGGAAATCACTTTTTTCATAATTTCAATAACCTTGTCCACTTTCTGGAGAACAGAGCTTGACTTGTCTCTCAACACAGAAGTTGTACAACACATTTGTAATCAAAGAAATATTTTACTGAAATTTGTGAAGAAAGGAATGCATAATAATTTTTTGTAATAATTCCCTATTACATTTATTTCATTTAGGAAAGATGCTTCAATCAGGTACAGGCAGGCCTCCAAACCTACTTCGGTTACCTCTCACATATTCGCCAAATCTTAACAACTTTCGCTGACCAAGTACTCAGTATTCAACTGGATATTTCCAACTTGTCCCACAACATTCAACAGCAGGTGAGGAGTTGCATAAATAGTCTTTAAGTTGGGAAAGGATCAGAGCCAGCTAGTGAGGGGAAACCACCCAGTTCTAAGGGGAATATAAGAAATGTGATATGTTAATCTGCTGTAATAATTTAGCAGGTCACCTACCTGGACATTAGCAATGTTCTCTTGGGGAATGTTGATGAACCTTGAAGGTGTAAGTCTCTAAAAATTGCAGATATGGAGAGTACTTTAGATTCAGTTTCCAAAGGATACATGGAGCATGAATATAGCATCTGTTCCAACACTTGAAGGCTGTATCTTTTTCTGGGATCACACAATAGGAGTGAAAGGAAAAGCCATTGGGATTTTCCTGCTATTGAACACAGGGGTTATTTTTATATTCCAGAGCACTTTTTTCAGTATCAGATCCAAAGTGCTCTATGGCCCTAGTATTTGCAAGATGCACACTACTCAGTCCTCATAGAGAAGCCATGTCCCTGTGGTGGGTGGATGCTTTTATATGGGATCTAAGAAGCTGACTGCTTCGGGACTCAAATACAGCCCAAAGTGCTGTGTTTGCAGGAAGATTTTTTAAATTACTGCCCCACTTCATCTTCTGGAATAACCTCTGTTGCTATTACTTGTCGAACAATTGTATATCCGGTCTTATAAAAGGAAGAAGCTTTGCCTTAGTCATTTTGTAAGCATAAATTTCAAAGTAATAAATACTTAGATTTTTGCTCTTCACATTCTGAATAATCCTAAAGCCTGGGTTTTGCACACCTTTCTACTATACTGAACTTTATTTTATATGACAGGAGCATTTTTCCTGTTCATGCATTAATCCTAACATATACAAACTGCTGCACCCTGTGAGCTGAGGCAATCCTTCAAGCATGCATTATAAAATTGTTGCTGCAACTATGGTAGAGCAGAGAGTAGGGATGTGCGTATGCATGGGGAAGTAAATATATCTGAGTGCATTATTTTGCTTACACTAGCTCAGATACTTATTTATGAGCAAATCCCTTGAGCCACTGCTCCTGGTGAAGCAAAAACACTTCTCTCTACTTTTATGAAGGCTGGGACCATGTTTTTCGCTGCTGGGTTGCATCCCATTGTCTCTTGCCATGACACACACACATTACTTATTCATTAAAACAAGGTCGTTGAAGAGGATTTGGGGGTATGATGGTGACAACATTGGCTACAAGAGGATTGATCCAAGAGCATGCAAGGCTAATTTAGATACTGTTGGAGTTAATATGCAAATATTAATTATTAATCTGAGATTCCTCAATTTCTAATCTTTGTTTCAGATGGAAGAAAGCAGTCTGACTAGTGTTGTCTATCCACAGGCAGAAAATGAGCCTAAATTTGTGGAAGTTCAAAGAGAAATTGGAAGCTACCTGGTTCTCTGCAAACTCCAGATATTTATGGACATGATTTTCCGGGCCTTGAGGCACTGTAGCACATAAAGGGAATCTATGGAGAATTCTCACTAAAGACTTTGAAGCTGATATAGTTCTGTGCACAAAAGGAAGCGCTAAGACTTGCTTTTACCTGACAGGACTGCTTTGACGGGTAGAATTCCAGCTTCTCTGTCTTTGTTTTTAATTTATTTTAAATTTTTATATACCATGTTAATACACTGAAAGTAGGAGACAATAAAATAATCCAGATAAATTTAGCTCTAAGAGAAATAAAAATATTAGCTGAGTTTGTACAACATGTTAGATTAGACTAAAGTGGAGCTGGGTTGCTTAAGATTCAGCATGTTGTGAAAAGCAAACCATTGCCTTATATTATGAACACTCCATTCTCTTAAGTCAGTTTCTCAACCTCAGCAATTCTGGCTTTGTGGAAAGCTGAAGTCTTAAGAATTGCTAAAGTTGAGAAACATTGGGTTAAGTTGTAATTTGTTTTAAAACTGACTATTTAAATTTTTATAATTAGCATTCAAATAATTATTGGTACAGTATTGAGAGAAGAGCATCTCACACATGTACGTGGAAATGGGAAAATTGCCTTCAGAATATTTCAGAGATCTTTTACCACTTGAGAGGCTACTACAGTTAAAACTTCAGTTGTTTAAGACTGATAATGATTAACTTGTAAGAAAAATGGATTCCCTCCCCCAAATATCAAATATTTTGCAATGAAATGTATTCTTATGAGGGCAAGGTCCCAGTTCACTCAAGCTCTCCTTTCCCTGATGTAATATCACTGTGATAAGTTTTTAAAAGTTTGTTACGAGTTTTAATTTATTAGCATATTTAATATTTATAGTGTCAGAATTGTTGAATCTTGAATTTGGACTTCAGTACTAGATATTTATTTATTATTTATACCAATGCTGTCAGATGAACGGAAAACAGTTGTTTAGATTTCAGCCATTCTTGAGTGCACAGTTCACAGTGCTATAGCTATGTGTGGCATGTATGTTGAGTACAAACAACATTAAACTACTGTTTAATATTTAAACATAAGAGTACTAGCTGGTGGTAGCTAGACAAAACTATAGGATGAAACATAAGGGAAGTTTGCAATTCCTGTCTTTATTAGTGTTTGGGGCATACAGTATAGTCTGTGTCCTTACCATTTCTTACCGATGTGAAATAGACTGCAGGCATTCATAGTCTATTTTTAGAAGAGGTTCAGTTCATAACTTCCATCATCCTCTATCATTTGCCATACTATTGTGTAGAAAATAACTGTAGCGTAAAAAGGTCAACAACTCCCAGACTGCTTAACCTAGCTTTATGTACAGTAATCCTGATCCAAAATAAATTCCTGATTTAAGCAAACTAATAAACAGCGCTCCCTCTGCCATTATGTCCTCTGCCATTTGCTAGACAGTTTCTGATATCACCAAGCCACCTATGTTATGTCACCAGGCATTAACATCTTTCTTTTAAGAGTCTGGTGATAGAGGCAGACCAACCCATTCTAACAAGGCCAAGTGGTTAAGTTGATACCATTTCAAGCTTTAAGAATTCATAAGTATAAAGTATGTGTTCATTTGCTGTAGAATTTTATGTAGAGGTATTATTTAATAATTATCTATGTATCTTATTTATGTTACAGTGGAATTAAGTTATCATTTAAATGATTTTAACACAAAGGTAAACAGCCATTGGAGTTGCACTCAGTTCCTAACTACTTGAATACTATGTTTCTTTGTTTAAATGCAGTCCTTCGCCAAAATCGATGCTGATTTCTATGGAATCCCATTGGATTCATTTTGGGAGAATGTTATAGTAAATGTGTGCGTGTGTTTAAAGTTTACACAGAATTCTTGTCATTCAATTTCTCCAGCTGCTAGTGTCTACTATAACTGAATGAATTTGAAATGATATTGCTTGAACATTGTATAGTGTCAGTATCCTGAATCTTGTTCAAAGGAGCAATTTCATTAAAACTTTTGACAACTTTTATTTTCTAAATGCTGTTTTATTTTTGTTTAGTTGTGGTATAGCCATCACATTCCATTTGAGGTAAAAATGTCAGTATTCCTATCTGTCAGTTCTTTGAAGAGGTGAGAAATAAATTGTAAACAGGTACTCTAAGTTGTAACTACTTGTATGATCATGACACTAAGTATAATGTTACATTTTTATCTGTTTTTAAATAAATTTTCTATCATATCAATCTCTAGTGCATTATTCTCATTTTTCTAAGCTCTTTTTGAAAATGAATGTAGAACATATAAAGCTACAGTTGTAATTTTCAAAAAGATTAATGTAATGGCTCCTGCCTCCTGCCCTTTGGAATATCTTGCCCGCTTCTGGATGAGATCTGCTCTCACCCTCCTGATCTTCTATAAGGCCCTTAAAGCCTGGCTCTGCCAGGTGCTTGAGGCCCCAACTGGTAGGGGAGCAGTTTTCACACGAGGTGGTTGATGGATCAATAGCAGATTCCACCTCCCCCTTACTCCCTCCCCACCTCTTTTTACCATAATTTTAATAGTTTATAGTTTTATTGCTACAAGATATATATATATATAAAACCCAAGAGGCAGGGTAAGACCAGGATAGCCTAATGTTTTTACTGAGATCAGTTCCTAACAAATAAACAAATAATGCAAGATCACCTGGGCTTGGAGTAGTACAAGCCCCAAGAATGGACACACCCAGTGCAAGTTAAATGCTTCAAAATACAAATACATCCATGTGTTCTATTCTAATTTAAATAATTTTTTACTGAAATACAATGAAAACAAACCTCAAATCACTACTGAAAACCATGTAATAAGTCTCTATTGTTTGCCAACCAGCAAGTAGATTGTGAGATAATTTATCATATATGAATGATGTATCGGAGCTCAAGAGTTCTCATGGAAAGTGCTAAAGACCAGATAATAGCCAAGAAATATCCTTCCAACATTGCCCCACATCCTGTCACTAATCCTTTCATTGCCCCCACCATCCTGCCAGAACAGATGAAGCTGCTTGAATGAGAAGCGAAAAAGGAAAAAACAGTCCAGTTGCCTTTTGAAAAAGCACCTTTGAGACAACTATGACCTGGATGATTGAGAATTTCCACAGACTTGCTGCCCCAACACTTTCTCCAGTCATATAATTTAAAAGCTACAATTATGTGATATCTTAGCATCAAATTTAAAAGATCTGTAGGGCATAAACAGGATTAAAGGGTCTTCTTTATCCAACAGAAAACAAAAGCTATTAGGAAGAAAAAATAAATAACCAAGTAAAAAATAACAAAATAACAGCTGCTAGTAAAATTGAATTTTACTATTTTAAGAGTACACTTATCTAAAACTTATCTGGAGTAATACAAAACAATATTTACAATATATGTATAGCAAGTTGCTTCCTACATGATTAATCATGTGACAAGAGTTATTTTGGAGCTAAGCCAGAAATGAAAGTGGGGAAAGGAATCCAAGTGGGGACTGCACCCTGTCAGGAGGACTATCTCACTTGCAGGGAAAACATGACCCAACTTGTCCATTTGAGTTTACTTGGGTCAACTCTCTGGCAGAGCTTCCTAGGAATCCGTTTCCATGTGCTCCCGAGCCTAGTGCAACTCAAAGTTATGATACTATTGATTTTTTTCTTATTTTTTTATGGGGGAACTGCTTGAGAAAGTTATTATGTACTATTATATAAACCAGAAAAATCAAACCAGATACAGTATATCAGAATTATCAAACTAATTCTAAAATTGGCTAGATCATTTTAGATATGAAATTTAGTAGAAAATGGCACAGTAGAAAGAAGAAATTAAAGAGGGTGCCACTTGGTACAAGAGATTGATGGGTACATTGGGGTTTTTAAACAAAATTAAATGCTGATTGAAAACTTTGATAAAAGCAGATAAAATTTTGGAATATAAAACAAAAAATATCATATTAACAGCTTTTTGTCTTTTCCAACAACTCTTGCATCTCCCAGAGATGTGTAGGGTGTGAATGGAAATGGTAGATATGGGGCCTGCTTCAAAAACTTCCACACACTTAACGGTCAAAATACAAAGAGCAAGAGTGTATCAAAGACACACAAAAGGCAATTTGAAGGTCCTCAGGATCTAATTGGATCCAAAAATGATTGATAGTTTTGAAAATAATGCAAGTTATCGTTGAGCAAAAAATCCAGGTGCCACCTCTATCACCCACCCTTCTCTTAACCATTCAACTCCACTCTCAAGAATTAGGCTTCGCCTGGCCCACTAAGAACTGGCAGACAATCAATAGCATTTCTGCTTATATTGAAACTAACAAAGCATGTATCCCATTAAGAAATCTGCAAACTAACTTAAACATAACTAAAATAAGTCTCCTCAAAACATGGAAATCTTTTTACCACACAAAGATAATACCCAATGTCACCCAATACCCCTCACCCAAAATCTAAAATTCCAATACAAAAAGATTAAGGATTAATATACCCTGCAGGATGAAAAAATGCATTTCTTCCAAACAGCAACACCTCTGTAAGCACATCCACAAAATCCATAAAGAACAAGTTTTTATATAAATATTGCTGTCTCTGCCATTCAACCTGTGACCACCTACAAGAGCTGTATTCTCTGTTACGCTGTTGAATGAAAAGCATCCTCTGGCTCAAGCATGTTCCCCAGTGTGTTTCTTTGCAACTGGCTTGAAAACAGACCAAAGAATTTTCTTCCAACAGTATAAATAAGTCCAATGAATCAAGAGAAAGAATAGAGAAAAAAATTGGTATAATCTCTGTTGTCTTTGACTTTTTTGATTCTTAATAATTTTAATAGGGACGCAGTGGCTCAGTGGCTAAGATGCTGAGCTTGTCAGTCAAAAGGTTGGCAGTTCAGCAGTTCAAATCCCTATTGCCAGGTGAGCTCCCATTACTTGTCCCAGCTTCTGCCAACCTATCAGTTCGAAAGCACATAAAAAATGCAGGTAGAAAAATAGGGACCACCTTTGGTGGGAAGGTAACAATGTTCTGTGCACCTTTGGCATTTAGTCATGCCAGCCACATGACCATGGAGACGTCTTCAGATAGTGCTGGCTCTTCGGCTTTGAAACAGAGATGAGCACAGCCCCTTAGAGTCGGGAACGACTAGCACATATGTGTGAGGGGAACCTTTACCTTAATAGTTTTAATAGTCTATTCATAAACAAAATATAATCTTCATACTAGTTCACGCTCAATAAACATTCAGCTAAGATCAGCCAAAGGTTACGATTAGGGCTTATACTAGGTTTATTTTTTAAAAAGGCCTGCCTCCAGTCCTGGATTTCGGCCAGCCTTGGAAAGACATTCTTTATCAAATTTGACATAACATAACTGCATTAGGCAACTCCATGAATCATATAACTATGAAAAAGAAATCCTGCACAAATTCTGCCCCTAACCATTTATTCAGCTCCTTGTCATGCTGGAAAGACTGTTTTCCCAAAAATAAGACCTATCCCAAAAATAAGTCCTAGCATGTTTTATGTGTGCACCTAAGCCTGCCTCCCCCCAAAATAAGACCTACTTAAGAGCCTGGGCAGCCGGCCATCCACCCATTTGGTCTGTTTGCTCACAGTGCTGTAACCACAAGGCAAAGCGGGGGGTGGAGCTGTCCCACACTCAGCACTGGCTTACCTGCGCCCTGGCTTACCCCCACAGTCAGCCCATCCACACCCTGGAACCTGCCTCGTGGCGGCAGCACCACCACCCATGTGCAGCAGGAGCCCACATGGCCATGGGCCACTTCTGTTTGCTCATGGCAGGGCAGAAGGCTGTGCAGTGTGCCAGTGCCATTGGTGCGAGGTGGGGTAGTAAAGCTGCCCCACATGCCCTGCACTGGCTTACATCAGGGCCCCCACAGCCAGACCATCCAAGCCCTGACATCTTCCTTATAGTGGCAGTACCAGCACAAGCATCCATGTGCAGCAGGAGCCCACGTGGCTGGCAGCCCATGTGGTCATAGCTGCAAAGGAGCAGAAGGCTGAGTCGCATGCTGGTGTTGTGGCCACAAGATGAGGCAGTTGTTGGGGTATGGATGGCCTGAATGGAGGGCCCTGATGTAAGCCAGTGTGAGGCACATAGGGTAGTCCCACCACAACCACCCGCCTCGCTTTGTTGCCGCAGCACTAGCATGTCGCTCGGCCTCTTGCTCCATTGTGGCCACAAGTAAGCAGAGGTTGGCTGGCAGCCACGAAAGGTCCTGCTGGATGGGCCTGCTAGAGCCGCCATCATGAGGCAAGGCAAATGTTGGGGCATGGGTGACCTGGCTGCAAGGGTCCTGAGGATAAGCCAGTGCAGGGCTTGTGTGGTAGGTCCCCCCCCAGTGGTCTCCTGCACTACCTCAAACAAACAGAAGAAGTGAACCTCCTGTACATGGGAATAAAAGACACCCTCTGAAAATAAGCCCTAGTGCTTATTTTGGGGCCCAAAAGAAAATAAGATTTAGTCTTATTTTTGGGAAACATGGGATTTAGACAAACATATATACAGGTACTTCTCTACTTACAACCATAGCTGAACCTGGAATTATGGTCTTAAGTCATAGTGGTTTAGTGGGGTCACTGTCAGGGTTCCAACCAATGCCCTAATTAAATCATGAGCCTCAAGCCAAGCTTCAAAAGAAATCCAGTTATTTATTAGGAACTTCATGTCTGCACGGACCAAGTGAAGCCAACCCTGACCTCACTTAATTTGCGCCTTGGCTCTGACCCTGTTTCCCCCTCTCCCCAAGGTGTGTCATCAGTCACATTCCCCAACAAAGCAATTTTGCAGGTTGTAGAAGTCACTCCTTCTGGCCACTGTGTGTCTCCATGAAGATGACCTTGACATTGCTGGCTGGAATGTGCTTTGTTTTCACTGAAATGCAAGTTCCTCGATGCAGCTGTGAGGGTCAGTTCCCTATCCCTCTGCCTATGGCAACTCGAGAGCAGGTCAGGAATGCTTTGTGAGTTGACAGTCACCACACGACCACATCCAATTTTACAATTTTTTTCAGCAGTTGTTAAGTGAATTTTTTTTTACTCAATGACTGTTTTTCACTGGAAACCCAAAAGTAAGTATCAGGAAACCCCCCCCCCAAAAAAATTGTGGTCACATGACATGGGATGATGCAAACTGCCTTAAAGCTGAACACTCAAAATGTGATTATGGGACCATAGGCAGATCATAACTTCAAAATTAGATCCCAAT